GGAACTTCTGGGTGCTGTCGGTGCTACTCGCCTTCCAGGATGGGGACGGCGTGATCCTCACTGTGTCTGGTTGGAGGCACTACAAGATATGGCTGCCAACCGATATCAGTGGCGTTGTTGTCAGTTTCTATCCAGATTGCCTGAGTGAATGGAGGTGTAGTTACCTCGGAATGATTGTGTTAAGCTAGCACTAAGTACCTCCCCCGTCCACCTTTTTTCTTTACAATAAGGCTTTCAAATAAGTCATGTTTATATGGCAGTGAAGCATCGGTGTTGAACACTGATGTCATGCTGTCGATGATGATGATGATGATGATGGATAGCCGGCAAGGGTTGAACATCTTCGGTTGTGCGTCTTTGTCTGACAGACACTAGTCACGGTTTAAAGGCTTGCCCCTGGCTGGTGTCAAGCGCCTGAGTGGATGGCATACTAAGTTCGTTCCTGGTGTAAATTACAGCCACTAGCCTTTTGATCATTATATATGCCCGAAAAGCCTTCTAGTCCCGGAATCCCTTCATTTACTGAAACTATGCCAGCAGATCTATGTCGTGAGCCGCTGTGCACAGCTTGTTTGTGTGGTTTAAGGGGGGTTAAGTTCATTTTCATCTCCAGTCTTTTGCTGTGGCATGAATGAGTATACAACATACTGAACCTACCCACCTTTAAACGCTATCCGTTATCTGTATCCATTGCGCGTGACCCAGGTCCTGTGTGCTTCATATCTGGCTCCTATTTTATACTGAGAACGAACCTTTGAAAGGCATCTCAACTGGGCTAATAGGAAACTATGCCAATTTTCTTCATGAATGCACATACGAAACTCCCTTGCACTCTCAAGTTCGCCATTTCCGCACATCCGAAATTGGTCGAGCAGTGGACAAAGCAGCCTTCCCTACTGGTTTTCTCTTCACACATTCTGTGGGCGTTTGCAGTGTGTAGATAGGTCCATATCCATGTTTCTCGGCACACACGATAAACTTCATTCTCTCTTTTGAGTACGGTATGGCGACACGCAGTATGTGTGTTCTTACCCATCCAAGGATACATGCCGGCACTCATCACTGACTTGAGGCCTCGTATCCCCTTCCTGATTCCACGCAGTTACTGTCGTCCCGTTGTTCCAGTTGCCTCATGAATAGATGGACTTCCTCCAACTTAAGTTTGGGAGTCATCAGTCTCCGTAAAGTACACTTAACTCGCTTTCCTGTGCATATGGTTCGGCTCTGGTCTAGTTTTTCATCTAATCTCCATATTGTTTTCCCTGTCCGTTCGCTCGGACGGCGTTTATATGATGTTTACATACCCCAGTCAACCATGTTACTTCCGTGTAAAGGTTGTGAGCTTCAGACCTTACTTGAGTGCAGGCAGTAACCATGCACTGCGCTCTTTAGGCTATGTTCTTGTTGACACAGTCCTCGAAAGCCACAGTCTTCATCTATCTCCGCAGATGTATCCGGTGATATAGCGCCTACCTGGCTTACATCTATACCCTTCTTGGAAGGAACTGTTTTACTGCCATCTTGACGGAGAACTAATGTGAGGTTATGGTATGATTAGCTGACTTCTTTTCAGGTCCTGTGGTTTCGCTTCCATGATTGGGGAAAGCCGCTGTAGTCCTTTTCGGATATATTTTTCCTTTTCACGAGCGTCGGCATCCATTATCTCTCCAGCAGGTGTTCAGATTTAAAAATGCTTTCTTTTATTCGGAGCAGTTGAGTATTTTAGTACATGTTCCAAACGTTTTGAACAACTTGGTTTCACTTGCTGTTCTAGTGGTTGTGGTTCATGACCAAGTACTCGCGTACGCAACATTTCACTGCGAGTGTGTTACAGCTGGCTCTTATACTGCGAATACAACATCGAACGTTTGAATCCGTCTAATGTCCTCAGGTCCGATGGTCAAGTTTCGCACGCGCCTCCTTCAGCACGGCGCAAACCCCGAGGTGGACAACGCATGACTTGACAGAAGGGTGTGAAAGGGATCACAACAATGATGGCGATTAACGTGATCATGATGATGTATTCAAATTGAAACTGACAGCATGAATGACAGACATTGATTATCTGGACCATTACATCTCTCAGCACGGCGCAAACCCCGAGGTGGACAACGCATGACTTGACCAGAAGGGTGGAAAGGGATCACAACAATGATGGCGATTAACGTGATCATGATGATGTATTCAAATTGAAACTGACAGCATGAATGACAGACATTGATTATCTGGACCATTACATCTCTGCGGGCAGCTGTACTTTTGGGAAAATTGGATCGTATATGAGACTTCTACGTACGTCCGATTGAGCAGCGAATGAGTGTTCCATGCACTCGGTGGTTTCGTCATCAAAATTCACGATAGGATCTATTCGTTTGGGTTAAACTGCTAAAGTTTCGCACAGAGGGTTTTTCACTCATGCCTGTTTGGCCATAATACGCCGAAACCGGCTGAGTGTATCTTTTAGGAACGATGGTTTGATCGTCGGCTGTTGTGCAGGACTGTATGTATGAGTTTGAAGCGGCGAATGTCCTTGCAAAAACCCGGTTGTCTGAACTACCGTCATAATGAGTTTCGATATAATGCAAATATACTAAGGTATGATTGACTACTAAATCGTCAAAGCATCAGGTTGCTTTCTTGTTTCTTTCCGACTGGTTGCTTTTGTCAACCACTCCGAATGGTTCAGTCTGTATATTTGGCGACTAAGCTCGTTATATTTTCGGCTAAGTTGCGAAGTTTTTATCGTTACCAAAACTAGACCTCTAATCCCAGTTTCATTTATTCTTTTTTCCTTTAGTCGATGACCACGATGTTGATGGTATTGTCATTCATTACAACCCTCGGTTCAAGTCTCTACATCTACTTCACACCTCATTCGACGGAATCGCTCAGCGCACGTCTTTTTGCATTCTTTTTATTCGCATTCAGCACAGGTACGTCCGTTGGTTCATACAGCACGTCGTTTTCAATTTTTACGCAATCCATACTGGGACCAGGATAACTCTTAAAGAGTTCCTCCTAACTTGCCTATCCAAGTGAAGTGAATTGGTTGTTGGAGCGCTGTATCGAGTCAGTTTTAAAAATCAGTATGATGCAAAATTTTTCGTAGAATTTTCGCTGAATTGGGGCAAACTGACTCATCGACTTGATGCTTGTGTTTCTCAAGTTTTGTATCCTCATACGCCTTCTCTTTCGCTGATTAGTTTTTTTCAGTCGGTGTTAAGACGCCCTCAAATAATGAAATGACTGCATGCCACTTATTGGTGCCACGAGATTTTATATACGCTGAGCTATGGTTTTGGGCCCTGCCAGATGATGAGTAACTAATGGGACATCATCGTTTTCGGCAGTAGCTTTGCTTCGGTTCTCGGCGATTACGCTCAATCTGCCGTGGATAACTGGTAGCAGGAACGTTCGTATTAGCTACGTTCTTCGGCGAAATTCCTACTACTAATACTACTACCCACTTTGTCTCCAGTTTAACGGTTTCCATTTATAGCGTTTCGGTTCCTGTAGAGAAATTCGTTCTCTGGTCATCCACCATACGCGACTTCCCTCGAATAAGCAGCCCGAGGTGAGATTCATGGACCGCACTTTCTTATTCTGGTGCAGAGCATCTGAAAACGCTCCTTTTCCTCAAGGAGCCACTTTTGGGATGACCGGTTTGGGCGGTATGAAATTCCTCCATGACAGTCTTCCGTTAGAGTAAACTTCCGGAAACATCACAATGTTAAGAAACTTCTTACTTGAAGTAGTTTTGCCAGTTTAGCAAAAACACTTGGGCCACTAGCACTGTTGGTCGAAATTCGGACTGTCCAGCTTGCATCAACAAAATATCTATACCTCCGATGTCCAATATCTTGAGTGAATTTTTCTTCCGTTAGGTTGTGTGAATTATTCTTCCGTCACTAGATGACAGGGAACGACATGACGTTGCTATGCTGGTCAGTCAGATCTTCGGCCCTTTCACCTGGGGTAGATCTGGACAACTTTCACACCGTGACAAAATCGGCTTCGTGAGCACACGTGGACGAGTGCTTCTGACATACCGTGTTCATCCGTATTTCACTCAAATTTTGTACGACAAAATAGTGGAACAACACTTGGTATAATACTGAAATATGGCACTTCACCTTCTTGAGAACTCAACTAAAATGTGCCTCCATTCAGAGGATCTCCCGTTACAAATGCAGTTATTATCAGACTTTTGTTGGGAAATACCACGTACCGGAGCATTTTTCAGACTCAGGGTCACCCAAATTGTGGGGCTGTAGGGCTACATAACCGTTCGTTGAGTTAGACTACTTAACTCATTGGGCATCAAGGTTGGACATATGTTGTGACTTGCTGAACGGTGGTGCAACTCTGTGTCGTTTCTTGGCTTCCTATATCGCCCACTATAGTATATCAAAAGGCACAGTGGCTTCAGACAGCCCTTTATGAGACAAGGACGATTATTACAACCATTTCTATTGGGTAATCATAAAGTGGTCAGCTACACGTTACTTTACACTTTAATGGGATAGTTTAGCTGGACGTCAAGGTGCGTAATCAAATGAAGCATACAATGGATACGCTCTGGCATGCTATACAACCATTAATTTAGAATTGTAGGTTGCCTATCATGTCAGTGTCTAAGATTTGTGATCTAATCAAATAAGTTCTTGACTAAATGTGTTCGGCTCCCAGCAAGAACGTGCAGTCCGCCCAACGGCGGTCTGTCTACATACATTTTTTGGTGTCATTTCTGTGCAGGGTATTCCACACCCTCACCCAGTGGCTGATCACTACCATTGTTGGTAGCAGTACTTGCGCAAAACACCGTGTTTTGCTGCTGTACATGCTTTCCGACGTTTTGCACCGTTTCTACAAGCGGTCTCTGTAGAGGGGCTTTACTGAAGCTTACCCGAAGTCAGAGCATATGCATTACTTTTTGTCCGGTCAAAGTGACCCTGATGGGGACCTCCCCTTACTCCGATGCCTCACTTGTTTTTGAAATTTCTTGTTCAGTGTTTTAGGTATGTGATCGTTACCAACTGTGAACTCTGCACATGCTGTTCGTTAGCTGTAACCGGTTTCTGTTCAGTGTTTTTTATCATTTAGTCCCACCATTTCGTCATTTTTTGTGGCAAGCCCATGTTAGTAGTTCCTATGTTTTCGTTGCAGGCCTTGGATTTGGTCCACTTCTTCGTGTGGTTTCAATCATTAACCCCGAAACCATTCCAACGGCTCTGCTTGGTGCTGCCGTCATCTTCGTCTCCTTCTCATTGGCCTCGCTGTTCACACGGAAACGGTACTATCTCTACCTTGGTGGTAAGTCTTCACCAATTAACCCAGTAGCTTTTTTATGCGTTTCGCCGGCGAATTCCGGTTGTATTCGCTGGATTAATGCTCTCCGTTTCAATGTAAGCAGTTTCTTTCATATAGCCCGTACAATCGCAGAAAAGTCAACGGTCGTTAAACTAGAATGAAAGAATGACGAGTTCATGTCATCAACAGCATGGCATCAACACCGATGCTCCGCTAGAGTAAGAGTCAGAGGTCAGGTTCGAACCACGAACATTCCGGTTAGTAAATTTGCGCGCTAGCCACTGAGTCATCTCATGGGTCGGAGCTACTCGACAGTTTGGTGTAGAATGACATGTATGCTATAGAATACTGAGTCTATTTCGCTGTTTGGAATGCAGGTGTGTTTCCCTCCAGAAACGTCGGGTGAGGCACTGCTACTGCTCAATATGGCCGTTCATATCCACTACTAGTTTGTCATAATATGAAAGCTAAACCTATGGTCATCAACGCTTCTAGAAAAGATATGGAAGACACATGTCAGGGTGCATTGATTAGACAACTGGTAGCTGGGTTTTTCGAGGAGCAGGTTACAAAAATCCGTCATGACAGGATGTTGAGTTTCAATACAGAGAGTTCCTTTCTACAGTGGTCGTTGTGAGGTGTTTTGTGTTGCTTTAGAATTAGGTTAAATGAACAAAAGAAGCCTGCTTCGTGGGACATCCCCACTCGCATGCACGTTGCGGTAAGGCGAGAGAAACCCTCAAGGTGAGCACTGAGGATATCCAATTTCTATCAGATTCCTTAGCTTAAGATAAAGTATCTTTAGGTTTATTGGCAGTGGATCACAGAACCTAAAGTTTTCTTTCCTGACGGAAAAGCACTGAACCCGATCACCCAATTCTGTTGGGTCTGTTTTCGGCCAGTCAATACACGAAAAGATTTACAAACGAAGGGGATAAAGTTTTGAAACAGATGGGTTAGATAGAGCGTCGAGAGGAATAAAATGATGCAAAGTCCTCTTGATGCTTTCTGGCAAGTCAACGGATTTGTGAGGATGGGTAGTCAGTTGAAGTAGGGAGAAAAAAGGTTGGACGAAAGTCTTTCCACCAGGAGAGCGTAACTATATTTAATGCTGACTACCCCCAGGAATTTCTGGAGCGTGTCTTTTGTAGATTAGGTGATACACAACTACATGATAGCAGGGAGTCCATGCCTCACACAGAAACAGTTCCCTTGATTTGGGGTTTACTTTACTAACCATTGTCATGTGTATCCCCTTGTTTCAGCTTTGCTCATGTCTGCGATGAGCATGTTGGCCACCTTCAGCTTCATGAATCTATTCATGCGTTCTCCCGCCATCTACCAAGCCGAATTGTATATTGGACTGATGCTTTTCTGTGGATTCGTTGTGTTTGACACGCAGATGATCGTCGAGAAGCGCAAATGTGGTGATACAGACTTCATTTGGTAAGTGAACCGAATGTCAGAAACACCATTCAACTGCATCCCCTTTGTGCATGCAACCTACAGAAACTTCCAAGGATTGCGCCGTTGCCAAGTTCCTCAAAGCCCGATCTCAGTCAGATTTTATTCTCAAGGTTATATGTTGTTACTGGATAACTAGGGTTATGTTTAGTAATATGCCAAAACTTAACCGGTGACCTTAGAATAGGATGACTCTTTGGCGGGACACTATTAGACAAGACCTAGTCGTATAGTCAGATTAGTCGCCCAGTCATCCCTTAGGCTTCCTCCTCACTCATTACTTCATGTCTTCTCTCTATCGTCTGCATCAGTGAGCTCAAGTCTATCCTTCGCTGCGCGACTGTTTGCTTTCTAATTCCGTCCGCTTTCAGCCGGCGCGAATTCGTCCCCACCTTATTTCTACTTGATCACTAAAGAACACACAAAGCTTCGGTCACAATAAACGTTGTGAGTCATCATCATCATCAAAGACAGCAACATCAGTGTTGGCACTGATGCTTCACTGCCGTTATGAGTAACGTGTTCTCTCAGATTAAATTATCTTGTTGAACACATAGGAGGATCGGTTGATTCACGTATTTTTTGCACAAACTGCAGTAGTACACTTTTGTTGACAACAATCTGTACCGTTGTGGATCAGCCATGGTTGCATGAACGAAAACAACGATCACCCAATCTGCGGGTGGATAGTGGCGAACCAGTTGGTACCCAGGTCGGTACCCATTTACGACAGTACAAGCTGCTAGGTGAATGTGAGTGGTGCGGGTTTTCTGGTTACCAACCCCCTATGTTCAGGCACACGATGATGTGGCTCACTTGGCTCTCATGTTTTTTCACTGCCCTCACCTGCGATTTTGCTCTTCCGTTCTTCCAGCACTAACCCAGTATGTTGTTATAAAATCCTACGGTACTTATTACCTTATTTTTTGTTTCAGGCATACATTAGACCTGTTTGTCGACTTCGTGGAGCTTTTCCGCCATCTCCTAATTATATTGAACTCCAAGCGAGTGAGTGTCCGTTTCCTTTTCCCACATTATGATGTTATCAGACACCGTTATATTTCGGTACAACGGCCGTTCATTTAACCAAAGCGTGCTGTGGGGGTCTCAAGGACTCTGGAACTCGTGTGTAGATCCTTTTGAGGTTACCAGCCTCGTTGCACTTGAAAGTGTTCTCAGTGGTGTTAGCCTACCGGTTTGTTAAATTGAGCTACATTTAGGGTTTTCCCGCACCCCGTAAAGATAGCCCATCAAAGTGATATTGCAACACGAATGTGGCTGTTGTCGGGTGTTAATTGTGTGTTACATCCTCTATGATGTATCAGTGTGGTCAGTTCATCGGCATGGAGAAAACAACTTCGAGGGAGTTATACTGCAAACAAGTGGATCGTTCCGTGATATGGAATTCAACTGAACCAGAATATAAAAATAGCTAACAGCCCTATAAGATGTGTGTCATGTACGGAAGCGGGTACGATCAACGGCCATACGCGACCTGAGAACGGCGCACAAATCCCCAGCTATGATGCGAGCCCCACCACTCATAGCGCATGGAGAAGACCATACCTTCAGAGAAGGGCTTTTACTGTCTCAACCAAAGGCGAATTACAGCGAGAGCAACGTCGTATATATATATATATATCGGGCGAACTTGGGGAGCGATAAATCCGATAGTGCATAGAAAGTATAACTGGCCAATAGGGCAAAGGGTGCGGCAGTAGACAAGGCAATCGTTAGAAAAGTAGATTTGTTCGTTTGGAAGCAGTCCTCCTAACATTGGGAACCGACGGTAGATGAACCGTTCAATCCGAAAGCAGCTGGGCTTTCACTGTGAATCTATTGTAACATCAGGTGGTCGTTTGGACTACCTGCTCACCTCTTAGCCATGAGATGCTTCCGTGCAATCGTCATATAGTCCCTTTGTCTTCTGTTCCGCCAGTGGGTGTGAACTGGACACTACGGTGTTAGGAGATATCAGCTTCAGAAGAAATACACAAACGTCGATTCCAAGGCTCCAAATTGGTAGATAATGCGGCTTTTTGCCCGATCGGTCTAAGGGTGTGAACTTTGAAAGAAATCCACTTTACTCGAGTCTTGGGTCGCAAGACGACGGCGTTTCCTCATTGGCTGGCCGGTAGACGTAACGGGTATATTTGTTACTGAACTTTCCCCAGTTATGTCCATAACCTGACGATTTTTCTTTCGATTTGTCGTTTCATTCTTATGTGTATGCATCTATCAGTATAATGTGGAAAGTTTGTCAATTAGCATGCTACTTCCCGATTGCCCAAAGTAAAGGGCTCATAGGACCGCAGAAGCTTTTGCTTAGGAGCCTAGTCCACAAAATAGCAAGATGATACGTGGAATCAGAGTTCCATGTTGTGCTACTGGAAGGCGATAGCTTCAGTTGCAGCCCATATGCCTTTTGGTGAGGCCAGATATCTGGAGAGTCCACTGCTCCTTTGTTGTTTATGGTTACCGATAAGCACAGGGGTTAGCATCGCTATCCCTCGAAGTGTTGCACACCGTCCGTGGATGGCTCAAGTGGTTAGAGCGCGAATCTACTAACCGGAAGTTCTGTGGTTCGAGCCCGACCTCTGCCTCTCGACTTCCCCTATCTAGGCTTTGGCAACCTGGCAGTATCCCATCCCTCGTGCTTCCTTTGGATGTCACAGCTAGGCACCGAAAGGGTGTTACAGCTGACTGGGGAGGGGGGTGAAATCACGGTTTTGTCGTCCCCCCTAGACTCAACCAGTGGTCTGTCAGTCGGTGGATTTATTGTTTACCAAACCTCTCTGAAACCATGACTATCCGATCGGGTCCCAAACGTTTTCCAATTGATTGAACATCTCGTTTTAGCGATGATGTATTTTCGGTACATGGGCGTCCATCACAGCCTTTTTGGACTAGTTCCCACTCTGACAGACACTTCATGACAGCTCACCTAAAAAAGATGAATCGGCTCCAAGAATATCCCAGTAGCCGCCGCCCATGAAGCATGACATCCGATCGGGTCCCAAACGTTTTCCAATTGATTGAACATCTCGTTTTAGCGATGATGTATTTTCGGTACATGGGCGTCCATCACAGCCTTTTTGGACTAGTTCCCACTCTGACAGACACTTCATGACAGCTCACCTAAAAAAGATGAATCGGCTCCAAGAATATCCCAGTAGCCGCCGCCCATGAAGCATGACCGGCAGCAAGATCCAGTCTCGGTTCCGTCCTTGACCACCTGTAGATAAAGTAGTTCAGTACTTGCCTTATTTGTCGAGATTCAGGTTTTCAGCTATGCTATACAACAGTGCCACCGCACCGTCGTATAGGTCTGTTAAAGGGTAAACAACCTTCGTAGCCGAGACTTTTCAACGAAGTGACAATGACAATCGAGGGCATGGTTTTGTACGCCAAAAAGCTTGCTATCAATCTCGGATGCGTTCGTTGGTGACCGTTGGATTGCCGGCGGACATCTCACCATCCTTCGAGGAGAAGTCAGTGCGCTGTTAACCTGTATGGGCATGCGTTGTTGTCAGACCAACCAGTTGTTCGTTCACTTAAATGTCAAGCTTATCGGCCGTTGCCTTATCAAACTGGATGCCATCAGGTGTTTCATCTATACATCACCGTCATCATTGACAGCAACGCCAGAGAAGAACACTGGTGCTTCACTGAGCTAGGATACTGTCAGGGCGCTCATCCGTAAGGGGGCGATTAGCATCTTCATCCAAAGCCTGGGCTCGAGACAGCTGTGTTTGACGTTGGACTACCAGAACACTACATTTTAGGAACAAGTCGCCACACTTGGTGGAACCCCCAACCTAAAGGACCAGGAGACTGTTAGCCAAAAATCCACCTTTGACCAACTTAGTATAAGGGGCTCCGTAAGCGTCGTACATACATTCCCTAGTATAGCTCAATAGGTCATTGAGGTGCACAAACCGTCATACTGCTGCATGATCCAATCTCTTCGGGTCAGGTGTATGATTCCACCAAACTGCGTTTTCCTGATTCATTATGTAGCAGAAACGCATTTAGTTATGAGTTGTTTCCCCGTGAGAACGCTCAAAAGGTCAGCTAAGAGGAGAGCTGCACATAATGTCGTAGGGAAGTTCTCATGTGTTCATGAGCACGCGTGATCCGAGCTAGTCTTGGACTGTTGCATATCCTCCAACACCTGTCTGTCCGTATTCACACACGGGACGTCTCACTGAACGGTGATTCTCCTGACGACAATGCCAAAAGGGTCTAGCTCACAGTCAGCAAATAGTGTCGAGGCGCGTGTCAAAACAACCATATATGAGGCAAACTTCGTCCTCTTCTCAGTTTTCCCTTTCCATATTGACTGCAACCCATAATTTGAGTTAACGTTATTTTTACCTGCCATTCTCATCACTTTTTCAGAATCGCCGTGAAAATGACGATTAGCTTCCTGCCCTGCAATATTGCCCCGGGCTCGATACCTTTGTCTACCCACCAGCACAGTGCACTGTTCGCTTCATCATCAGAATCATCACAATCATCCTTGACTACTTCGGCGCAGTCATTGCTTCTGACGTGTATTGTTTACTGTATGCCGTCGAGAACACAAACTCCGATGGAAACAAATAATTTACGACACTGGTGCACAGGAATGTTTTTTTTTCGCGCTGCACACTGTAGTTGAAGTTACTCACCCCTGTTTGCGTGTGTGTCCTCTGATTCAACAACTTTATGTTCAATATTTTTCTTGATATGCTTTTTGGTGTCAGTCTGGTAGCTATAGTTGGCTGCGCATCGAAATGTTTCATTTAACAAGGGTCTTCAAGCAAGTTATTCTACCTTTCGTCATTATGCGTTGTCCGGTCGGTCTCTTCCAGTTGCATCAGATATGTGACTACACTAGTCCGCGATCGGTCCATTTGGATGGCATCCTCTGGTATTTCCTCTACTTGGTCGGCTGATACTACATCACTCTAGAATGTTGTGTGCACGCTAGACATCTGACACCGTCAATGAAAAAAATTCAGTGAAACTCCTCGATAAAGTGCGTCTTGCACTCCGCTATTATCCTGTCGTTGGGCCTCCCTAGTAATTCAGAGACAAGAGAAGTCTACCGTCACTTTGATGTGCTTCTCGATAACTGGCGCCCCTTCAGGGTTGTATGATGTCCAAGAGTCCTCAGCGTTTTCGGGGTACTGGTGTGGAGACATGTTATACCTGACACAGTTTGATTATCTTTGCTGGCTTTTATATCGCCCGGGTTAAAAACATGTCCGACGATCACCCACGATAGAAAGTGTTAGTTGTTTTCGTATACATCACATAATGATATGTATGTACGCGGAACCAACCCCAGGGCTTGTCCACTTGAAACGTGAAGTCCTAATCTATGTGGCCTCTATCAGAAAATATGAATTTCCTAATTACTGGCTAATCAAGTTATTCGGACCTAATCAACAGCCTTCTATTAATCCAAAACCCTGAGGTGGTCTTGTCTGTTTGTATATATGAAAGTCTGGATCCATCATGCAAACGCAGCGGCGAGGTGCCTTCTATATGGAACTATTTCAATAGTTCATGGAAATTAAATAAACTCGCAAACAAAAGGCGGAGTCAGTGTGGTGCGACAAGCGAATGACACTACGAGGTGTTTCCCCCTACGATAACTTGCTTTTTACGGCCATGCTTCTACTCTTCAGTCCTTCAGTCCGAGGAAGTTCAGTGGTTGTGACGCAAAACTACTGACCAAAAGGTTTGGCTTTTCGAGTGCCTCTGGGCAACCTGAGAGTATCTCGGACCTCATGGAGTTGCACCGCAGCTATGTGCCAAAACGATACCACATATGAACTAGTATTCTTCATCTGTTGGTTTTGTCATAGTTCCGGTTTGCCTTCCTCATCCGAGAAACACTTTTCACCCTATGAGTCGATTTCCATCTAGCGTAAACCACTGGGCATTAAAGTGAACCTAGACAACGCTTATCAACCCTGGAGTTGATGGTGGTCTTTTTGCCCTTGTTCCACGAAACACCTAAATATCAGGTAACTGCTTTGTGCTCCTTGGATGAGCACCAACGGAAGCATCGTCATCAGAGGTAGCAATATCGGTGTTAGCAATGATGCTAGTCTATAGCGTGAATTCTGAGGTGCCTACCGCTCCGAACCGCATTTCATCCAAACTCCAGTCAAGGGTCACCCGATCATCCGTTGGGGGTTATGTTCTTTGGGCATAAGTACGCTTCGGTTATACGGGTGTCTTTCCTCAAACTAAAAGTACCGCGGATGTAAAAGAATTAATAAGTCCACTGCTTGTAGTAATCCATGTTAACTTTACGTGTGTGCAATCAGTTTAACCTAGTCCGGAAAAGTCATTACGCGTGCGGATAGCGATGTTTTCTGTGGTTACTTACATCTTTATGAGGCATCGCAGTGGAATGCTTCAATTCACAGACCTCAATCAAGATGTATCCATTTTGACCGGAACATGACGGCTTTTTAGTAAAACTGCATTGAAATGTTTGAACGCAACCATGAATAGGAAAAAACGAGTGTGAATACCTATACTACAATCATGTGTACTATGAACGGCCACAAACTAAATTAGTCGTGAATCACGCGGTTTGTTCTCCAATATTGAACAGATTGAACGCGTACTCTGCACCAGTTTCTGGACACTTGTCCCAAGGTGGTAAAAATTCCATAAGTTTAATAGTACTCACCTGTGAAACACTTTCAGGGTGACTTATTATACGATTGAAAGTGTATTTAATCAATGTCAGCTTCAAATATCGCTTCACCATGTTCAACGGAACGTTTTTGCGGAAATCTAATTGATGGCATTTCCGGTCGTCTGTTTCATGTAGGTGATTGTTGGGCATGCTCGACATGAAGAGTTTTGGGCGTGAATCTCTATCATGATCAAATTAGCTCGTCAATAAGGTATGTCAAATGAATACAGGTCCAAATATGGAACACTGTACAATGGCCACCTTTCCAGAAAGTGAAGGAGAATGGGTTCAAGTAGAACGGAAACTCGGGGACTACGCCTACCTGATGAGCCCCAAGGAGGGTGAAGTCGATCGTAGGCTGTCGAAGAGTTTTCAGCAACCTTGTGTATGGTTTCCTTTGTGAAGGAGAAAGCATTCAAAGGGATCAAGTTACTTTAATCTAGGATCAATATCTCAATCGAATCTGATGTGATTTTTCAGCCGATACGCAGTCAATGCGTGAAAAGCCATCGATGTTCAGGCATTATGAACCTCTAAAGCTGGTCGACTTTACTGATTTTTTGTCGTGCCACAATTGAACTCCAACAAATGTCTGTCCTTAGTCCGATCAAATAAATAGATAGAAAGTGGTATGACTAAGTAGGCCGAATAGAAGAATGTACGAAATGTGCCGAAAAAAATCCATTCTGATGGTTTTTGGAGGAATGGTGACATCAGCGAGGAGGAATCATTGGGTTCAGTTCCAAAAGTGAGGCCCTCATGCAAATAAACAGGGAGATGACAACTTTTGTAGGGTAGTTTATGCAAAGCTGGACTCAGAAGTTTCGCAGAACGTCGGAGGAACTATTTTCGAGAAACCAAGCGCACGGAGGATGAATGTCACACCGAAGGCTGGGGCGCGCTCTAATGACATGCTGGTTTAGAAGGACAGTGCCTTCTTTCAGCGTGGTCTCAGGGCTCACAGAAGCACCAAAAACTGACTTCATCCCTCTGTCAGTCCCGAACTTCCAACTAGAGCGCTGGCGAATTGCTGTCCTGTACCGCTTGACATCCTCACATTGAGCGTGGGCAAGAAAATATCACGCCCCAGTCAAATATCAGCTAATTGACACCGATTTGGCTACCAGTATTCGGTCGTCAGATTGGGCTGGTCGTCCAATGTCGGTAGAAACTCACACACAGACTGCTACACTTTGAGTGACCCTAAAAAACCCTAGCATAGTTTCCCCGTAACACAGTCCGTACGCTGCGTGCCGTCAGGGTAGGGTTCGGGTACGCACATGCGTAAAGTCCACAGATCATTACAAGAGGAGTCTGTCACCTCGCCAACTCTTCCGTCTGAACGGCAGAAGTTCCCCACACCATCGATCAAACAGCCCCGTCAAAACCAGTTAAACTGCAGCATATTTTAGCGCCGAACCGAGACATATCATGGAAAACATGACAGAGTAGCTTGGGTTCTTCCGCAATACGTCAAATGCGGTCCACCAGCTTAAATGAGTGGTTGAGTATCATCATTAGTCGTTATCATTAGTATCATCACTAGTCACTACGCAACCTATGTGAGCTAAATTCAGTCTTTCATTAGAACCGAATTGGTGTGCAAGTGAATTTCCTATAATATGGGTTCAAGTTGACGGAAACTTGTGGACTGCGCCTACCTGATGAGGTTCATGAAGAACGTGGGCTGTCAAACAATGCCCAGTAACCTTAAGAATAGTTTCATTCAAAAAAAAATTTACTCCGACATCTCGAATATCGCAATTATTGAGGCATGAGAGTTCAGCTGGGATTCAGCTGAATCTCTCGTGCGATCATTCCCGCCCGATTTTGTGACAAGGGTCTGTACTTTTACGGCGTACACTTTGCTGTTGCCCTAGCATGAACAGGCAAGCCTTCGTAGTGGATGAGACCAGAAGCAGTTGAATGAATGGAGTCGCGGCAAAACATGTCGGAATAGGTTGCAACACCAGAACTTGTTTTCAACTGCTAGAGGCAACGTGTGATGTCTGACTAAAACACAGTGTTATTTATATTATGAACACAAAATTGACAGTATGCTTATCTTTCGCAGTCAAAGGAATTTCAGAGTAAGACTGGACACCGAATGAAGCTAGGGAGAGATACGGTCAACCACCAAGGTTTTTTTCTCCGCAAGCGAACTGTTACGACCAAAACGTTATCTTCGATTGAAGCGTAATATCAGAATCTCCAATTCGGAGCTGACTTTCTATAAGGTACTAATAATGTACCACTAAAAACATCAACTCATATAAAAATACACAAACCACATGGTAAATACGCGTCTGCAACAACGGATCAGTTCATGCCAAAAAAGTACAAGTACTATGAGCGAAACAGGTTCAGGAACGTTAGGCAGTCACGCTTGTACGAGCGCTGCCGCAGATGGTTTAGTGGCCTCAAGACCAAAGAAACGAAGCGGGTCAAACAGACAAACATCGGTTCACGCGTCAAACACAAAAACCTGGGGGGTGGAGGTGCAGATAGGAACAGAAAACTGTGGGGAATTTACGATATCTGGATAGGGTATGATATATGACTATTCATAAACTTAGGGAACTTAGGGGAAATTCTCTGTTGCGGCTACTCAGGGCAATTATAACTCTGAGCAACAGAAACCAACTTATTTGTGTTCACTTGTCGAACTTGCTTTTACATAAATTTAGTGCCGAGATAGTAGGCAAGTAACTTTTATCATGCATATCGAGATTTCAAAAAAGAAGTTGACTCCACTCGTATAAAACACATTCGTCAACGAATAATGGAATAATGTCCCCATTGAATGACTAATTCCGCCCGGGCCGAAAAGTTGACAATCCATTTGGTTTCCAAACTGAGGATAGGAAATGAGTGGGCACATCCCTGTTGACCACAGCCGTTCATGTACAACAGCAGCACAGACGAACATCACGAAAGCTAACGCAGTCTTCACTAGACAGGACAGAGGCGAATAGCAAATTCAAATTGAAGTCTCATACGATGCCGGCCGAATACTCGTCCCCAAGACTTCATGCTCGGTGGCCTTCCAAACGGCTCACTCACCGAGTAATCTTCATATGAAAAGATTGATCGGCTATCCTCAGGTTTTTTAACACAGCCTTAGGTCAAGGTGACACACTTGCGATGAGTGGTTCCCGTTCGGTGTTTTATCAAGATGCTATTCAAAGTCACCGCAGTTGCATTTGTTACCGGTTTCGCCAAAATTCAGTCATTCAGTTCGTCGAAACGGGATAAAGACAAACTGAGTTTCACTCCTATTG